AAACATTAGTTTGGGAGTATTTACAAATCTCTGTAAATGAAGTGTCTGTAAAGGTACTTTCTACTGAAATAAAATATAATTGTATTTTTTTACTAAGTTCTCAAAACAATGTGCAAAAAATTTCATCTTGCTTCTCTCAGACCCCTTCTCTACTTTCAGATTCACAACTAGCAGTACACTGCAAACCTGCACACTTACTGATGTTGTTTATTGCTGCACAATCTGCAAACAGGAAGCACCTGGGAGATTAAATCTCAGTGTGGGTTGTTAAAAGGGCAAGAAATCTGAGACCCTGAGAAGGCAACTGCTGATATACTGAGACCAGATGAAGTATCAGAATTATGGATCAAGCTAGTGATAGGCAGGATTCTTACTTGACTAGAGAATTGAGATGAAAATTGGTGGGAAGTAGTGATTCATAAAATGTGAAAGTTCTGTCTCTGCTTGTGAAGAGGGAAGGCCTGACTACATCCTGGATGTGCCCTAGAATTCATTGTTAGACTTTGATAAATCAAGCTTCTTGTGGTTTTTTGCTTGTTTATTGTTAATTGTGATGAAAACCTATGGAAGTTGCTTTCTGCTCTCCAGATAATCATTTTCCACTAATTATTGAAATGTGAAGGTTTGTGGACACTCTTTAGCAGTTGAGGGGAAAAGCACATGCTAGGAGAGTTTTCAAAAGCATCCATATAATTATTAGGATTACTTTTTTTTCCCCCCTTGTGCTTGAGTTTTAAGTGAATAGGCTTTTTAGCTTTGTTTCAGCTTGCTCTCTATTACAGAAAGAATTTTCACCATCTGACCCTGCATTAATCTAAGCTATGAAAGACTTTAATCAGATGCTGCAATGTGCCCATTTCCTGCAGGCTCCTAACATGAATTGGAACCTGCTGGAAACAGAAGCTGACTTTCCTGGTAATTCACTGTTCAAAGTGAGCAGGAGATCTCAGGAGTGGCTCTTTTTATTCCTCAGCAGGAGTGGAACCCCTACTTCACTGGAGGAGAAAAAAAAAAGAAAATATGCAGAAACATTAAGAGTGAAATGAAAAGTTTAGGAAATAAAGTTTAGGAAGGGAGTTGGATAGAGGTATTAATGCAAGTCTGATGGAGCCTGCTCTTCAGGATCATGCCTTTTACTCCTGACATTCCTACCTGCTTGCAGAGCTTGTCAGTGTAGAGGGTCTGCAGTGAAAGTTGTCCATGGATTCCCACCTTACAGCCAAAATAGGTTGTCAATAGTATTAATTATAATAATATTAATTTTAATCTTATCAATCTATATTATTAATCTTGTTTCCATCCCGGAGAAACTAATACTTGCTCAACCCTAACTGCACCCAAACATATCTGGAAACTAAAGAATCTGAATACTGAATAATCTACATTCTAATCTGTATCAATTCCTGATATTTAACATTTTCTGCCCATTTGTCATAAAATCAAGGAACATTTTTTTTGTACTGTAAAGAAAAAAAATCTATACCCTAAAGGGTTTAGTGAGCTAGTGACATTATAAGAATTTTTTTCTTTGGAAGAAGAAAACCAGTATGTAGTTTTATAATGTAATCTTTATTCCAGTGCATTTCACTGTTCCTCAAGAGGGAAAAAGATCTGCTTTTCCAGTTCCCCAGTTCAAGCAATATTTGTTCAAGAACACAACCCTACCCCTCTAAAACAGAAACTATCACAAAACAAACCCAACAACAACAAGAAAAAAAAACAACCTAGATTTTACAGCTTGGAGAATAGAAAACATAAAATTCCTATTTCAGAGCCTAGCCAATGTGAGACAAAAACAGTGGAACCAAAAGCAAAAAGAACACTTGCATCTGTACATTTATTGGAAATAGCAATAATAGCATTCTAATTGTAAAATATTCCTTTTAATTTGTGTTTGCACTGATGCTGGTCAAAGATTAGCCTAGAAAAGCCACTCCCTGCTTGTCCTGCTTACTCAGCTCAGTGCAGCAGCTGTTCCAATAAGCAATTTGATGTTTAGCACCTGAGAATTTGCTCTCTCCTTCAGCCAGGACTGCAAGCTCAACAAAATTTATAAAAGCATGAAGTTTCATAACTCTTTCTCCCTAATGCAATAGCCATAGAAAATCTGGGTTATGGTGCAGTCATTAACTTTCTAGTAAAATTAATTTTTATATTTTAAGGCTTTCCTTTTTTCTCTTTTCCCCACACAATGAAAATTTCTTCTGTGTGTCCAAAAGGAAGGATATAAAAGAAAATGAAGGGATGGGGGAAGAGTACAAATGAAAGATGGTACTCTTTCTTACCTCCAAATGGCTTGATAAAGATATTCTTAGCTTTTAGCCTACAATCAGCAGTTTACTATCATTTACAGCTAAAAATTATGAAATAGAAAATTAGTCTTTATTATATTTTTCAGGTTTATTTTAAAAATGAAAAGTATTTATTTCTCACATTCTCAAAATTTGAATTCACATAACTTATGGCTACTCTCAAGTCGACTTCCCTCCAAGTTTCTGGTTTACTCTTCCAGTTTTTTCAGCACCAGCAGATTTCAAATTAATGTAATTCTATGAATTTTAACTTTAATTCCTTGAGTCATGGAACTTATTGTTGCTGCTTCCTCATTATTGCTTCAAAAATGTTGGTTCAAACGTACTGAAAGATTTCAGGAACAAAACTTTAAAGCCACTTAGGAAAAGAGTTCTGTTCTAGAGAAATATTGATAATTTTTTCTGTATTGCATGAATTCTCCCCAGAGTGGCATTGCTTCCTTGGGTATGACAAACTGTTCACCAATCCAATTTTTCCTGGGTCTGCTTCTACACCAGCTCTTGGCTGTGTTTATTTGGGCTCCTCAGGCTCTGCCACCTGAGATTTGTGGGAGTTGGGTACATGGAGGATGTAGTCTGGGAAGCAGGAAAGATTTTGTGAAAGCAAGATTTGTCAGAGTAGTTTCACCTAAGAGCCCCTCAAAGTGTGGTTAGAGCCTTTTCAAGTGGATATACATCTAAGCACAAAAGGGAGCTCTGTGGTTGTTTCCAGGCCTTTAACCTCTGGGGCATTACACTTCATGGGATAGGTGGAGGAAAAGGGAAATGGAGAGAGGAGGGACAAGGTTAAAATCCTCTCTCGCTGGATGCAGCAGATATTTCTCAAATGTTGCATTGCTTTTTTTCTGAACTGTTTAGCAGTCACCAGAAGTACAAAGTTAGACCATGAAAAAATTCTGATCGGGATGAGAGAATTAAAAAACCTCAGTAATGAATCATCAGTTTCTTTTATGATTTACTGCTAAAAAGGAATATTTCATCAGCTGTACAAGCAAGAAGACATTGCTGTTAGCTCTGTAGCTGCTGCTCTTGGAAAAATCTTAGTGTGCACTAGAATAGATCAAAGGAAACCCATCCTCAAACTGGAATTAAAAAATGGGTTTGTAGCTTGCTAACTGGTTTGCCAGGATTACTGAAAGTTTCTGGGCCTATTTCCTGTGAGGCTCCAAGGCACTGAGGAGAAATGATGTGAAAGCTGAAGGTGAGGTGTTCAATGATGGCATGGTGGTGCAGGTGGAGAATATAAACCAAGGAGAAGGTGAAAAGCATCCTAACTATGGAGGATCTCCTCTCTGAATACAGATTTAGGACTCTTTATTACCCTATTTTCATCAGGCATAGCATGGTATGAAGATAATTTTACAAGATTGTGAACTTTCATGGTATTTATGAGAAAATTTATATTCATTTCCTCAAGACAAAGATATCTTGCCTACTTTCCCAACAGAAATAAATTGCAAAATGCATCTAAAGATCTTTTTAGTTAATTCCTGTTGGAAAATACCACAGATCTGTAATTTGCTTGAAATTACTCTGTCTTCTCTTTCCTCTGTAGACTTCAATGAGAGTTTACTTTTATAATTGTTTTGGTCACAGCAAACATTTGCAGTTATGCCTCATATAGCAAAGGACTACTGTCTAAAAAATTCTGAGAGGAAATTTGAAAGTCAAGATTTTTTGTATTTAGCATTCTGTTAGAGCAGAAGGGATGAAGTTACAGGGAGAATTATTGTCTTCAGTATCTGTGCATATTCAAGCATGGCATTCTTAAATGTAGTTGCTTGGATGGGAGAAGATGATCCTTAAACAAGAATCAGCAACAATATGTGTTAGTACACTGCTTATGTGTCAGTAGTGTTGTCTGAGTATTGGTGACTCTGGTGTTAGAATAGCATTTGACAGATCCTGTCCTATATTTCTTGATTTGTCGCTTTGCTTTTGTGACTCATTCCATTCTTCCCCTTTTTTCTATTCAGACTATAACTTTCTTGGAATTAGGGGATTGTGCAATCATCATAACAAAAGACAAGGATGAAACTATGAGAAATCTGTTCCTTCAGAGGGTTTTCTAGACAGTGCTGCCCATATGTGAAGTCATCCATTCAGAAGCAGTCTAGTTTTACTTCTTCGGTGCCTTAGGAGACAAAAGCATTTTGTATCTATATGCAGATTAAAGTACTTTAAAATTTTTTGGACCTTGTTATTGATTCTGTGGACATGTGTATGCTGTCTCAATGTTCAATGTTTTGTGATCATGCTAAAAAATTAAAAATACAGTCTGTTGTAGAGAGGACTGTCAGTAGAGGCAGGCAGTATAAACAACACAAATAGTGTTTTTACCAAGCTTGGCAAGATCATTATTTGGAGGGGGTTTTAGTTAAATTAGGTGAAATGACAACACATTTGGAAAGAAATGAGATTCAATGGCAAATTGAGATTAATCAAATGAATATGGCATGCCTTCAACTGATAATGAGGTTTGTGCAGATGTGCACTGCTTTCTGTGTTCCAGTGATTCCAAGGGCACATAACTAGCTGAAATGTGTGCAGTGCAGTATTAAAACTAGCTGTAACTTCCCTGATCTCTGGTAACAAGAGGCTGCTTTTGCTTGAAATGCAATAATTACTCAAATTCCAGAAAAGAGTTGCTATTCAGCTTAGGAATCTCCTTTCATTTTCTGTCTTCAGGTTCTAAACTTGAAGTTCTCTATGCGTGCGCATGGTGCCACATGACCCAGGTTAAATGTCAGCATTGTGGCAGCCAGCTTCCTCTGAGGGACCTCTACTAATGATAGCTATTGATCCAGTGCTCAGCGCAGCTCCAAGGCAAGACCAGCTTCAATGCTTTTCCCTTCTGCTGCCCTCTCATTTATATGAAGCTGCCTTCAGACATGGCTCTCACCCTTGGGGACAGAACCTACTTATTGGTGAAGTACCCTGTGCATTCATTTATCAGATTTTACTGCTACAGTTTTATTGCATGTTTGTAGCTAGAACTTTCCACAAGAAGAAATCTTTAATATGACATGAAAATATCCACAGGCACCATTAATATTACTTCAGATGTGAAGATCTCACCCATCAGTAGTACAATGCTGTGTAGAGAAAAAGTGCTTCTGTGCTCAACATGGGGTAACTTTTATTAGCTGAAGGAAGTTTTAGAGTGCTATTACAAAATAACAACTGTCTGGTTATGCTGTGCAGCCTCTCAGTATGTCTGTTGATTACCATACTATTAGAATATAAAAAAATTCACTTCAAAAATATTTTTATAATTGGAAATTAGAATGTGATAAATTTGTATTTTTGAATATTATTATGAAAAAACTCAATTTGATATCTAGCTTTTAAGGATTTTAGAGTGCTACTAAGTAAACCTTTAGGCTTTGATTCTTCATTTTATGGAGACCATTAAAATTGAAGTAAAAGTGATGCACAGTATCTGTGAAATGCCTTGCTTCAAATTTTCAAAGCATTGTGTTGTCTGTGGATACTATTTATTATGCATATCTAAAGAAATATGTACGTAATGGGTTTAAATAAAGACTGGAGAAATGAATGGCAAAACCCACACAAATCCACCATGTGTTCAGGTGTCTCTGTCCCTCAGTAGCAAATAAATGGAGGCTCGAGGGTGCCTGGGAAAGTAGCACTGTGTTCTGCTGCTGGCTGCAGCCAGAGCAGGACAGGACTAGATGGACCTGTGCTGTAAGTGCTGACATCCTTGCTCTAGAACACAAAATATAACCCCCTCTCCCAGTGGATGGAAATTAAGCCAAGACCAGTATATTTCAGTGAACATATTCTTTTCTTATGAATAGTGAAATGGAAAATTCTACAACATAACAGAGTTTCAAGATATTTGCTTGTTTGGAATAGGGACGAAAATGTAACTCCATTTTTTCACCCCCTCCTTTTAAAATAGAAAGAAAACAGGTGATATGAAAATCTGAATCTAAGTAATTTGTATTTTCCACCTCTAAAATAATATTCATCAGATACATAAGCCTGCATGGTATACTTTGTAGACAGAATTTGTTATACATATAGTTAACTTGAGGAAGTAACTCAGAATCTAGTCACTGCTGAATGATTTTCCTCTCAAGTGCCTACTATGCAGTTTGAAATTTAAAATATTTGAACCATGTTTTTGGTGATTGGTCCTGCTGAATAAGAACTGTTGTATATAAATTTGTTGTGCTAAATAACTTGCTGGAAAAACGCAATAATATCCATCAAACAGTAATGAAATGTAACCTGTTAATTTCAAAAGGTTCCCACACAGAACCTACTGGAATGTAGTGTAACATCTGTAAATGCTTCTGATGCCTTGGACCCTTTCTTAGCACAGGCATAGACTTCATCTCAAAAGAGCCTTTTTTTACTTAAAATGTGACACAGGGAGATAAACCAAGGGAGAGAGAAAGGAAATGACGGGTGATTTTGAACCATTAATATGTTAGGCATGTCAAATGCCCCATGGAGCCATGCAGTGCCTTAACCAAGGATTAATTTAGTCTGAACCATAAACTAAAGATAAAACAAAATTGCTGTGAAATGCTAATAAAAAAAATTCTTCCAAAGCTACTCTATCAAGCAAATCTTAAGAGAAGAAAATGTTCCACGGCTGAAGACTGATTAAAGAGCTAAAATGGAATGAAAGAAAGAAAATAATAAAAATCCAAAATAATGCAGAAAACAGAACTGTCAGTGCTAGGTATGCTAATAACCTTGCTGCTAAATCACCAGCTTTCAGATCGCTTGTACTTCATAAGTTTTGCCTTTCTGTGAAGATAAAGACATTGAAATAAATGGGATTGAGTCGAGGTGAGGGTGGGGTTAATAATCTGATCAAGAACAAGAGGATATAAACCTCAGTTTAACTAAGATTCAAATGAATAAATGTAGGGATTGCCATTATGGTGGTTAACACCAGGAGACAGCCTCCTTTTGGGACACAAGTAGAGTAGCTTTTCCTGGAAATGGTATTCTAACATTTAAAGAGGTTGAGAAAAAAAATCCCCAAGTAATTGAACTGGACAGATAAAGCTTCATTTTTAAAAGGAATTCCCAGTGTCCCCAGTTAAAAAAAACAAAACCTTCTCAGTTCACTGTCAACAACTCAGCTGTTGGTTTTAAGATGCCAGGAACAGATTCAGTGAATGATTGTTGTTGTGATTGCCAATACATTAAAAATAGAACAAGAAAAGACGCTGTATAAAAAACCCAAAATAACAGTTTGTAGGTTTGGATTTTTTTCCTAAGAAAAAGAGAAAACAAAATAAAAAGGCAGAAATAATTGAAGTTAGTATGTCTGTAATATTTAGTAATGCTGGGTGTATTTGTCCCAGCAAAAACTCTTCAAACAGAAAAATATATAAAAGAGCAACCCTGGTAAAATTCCAGTACAGAGATACATCTTTAGTTCTTATTTGAAACTCAAAGACTCTGTTGCATGCATATAAGCTACACACTCCTAACCATAACATGAGCATCTACTTACATGCCTTGGCAGACCAAATGAGAAATGCTGAATGATGGTCTTGGCACATGTTAACATTACCAAATACCTTGTCATACACAAACATTTTTTCTGCTTGACCCTATAATGAACTGTACTTAAAAAGCCAACAAAACTGCACTTTGCACCAAAGTGAACTGTGCTGGAAAGTCACTAAATCTGACCCAAGATTTGACTCCCTACCCTGTGGCCTCAAAGGGAGCATGTTTTGCTTGGAGATCTGAAGCCAAGGTGCTTGTCCTCTAACTGCTGACCTTCTGAAATGCAGCATGACTATTCCACTGAAAGTTAATTACTTTCAAAGAATGAATTAGGCTTGTTTTTATTGTTTTGGTTTGTTATTTTCCCAACAGTTCTAAAAATTAGAAGCTTCATAAAGAAGACAGCCATGAGACCAGTCTCTGAATGGATGTGGGTGTTTTGGCCCTCAAGAATCAGACGGGTGTAGCTGGAGGCTGTGTGGGACAGTTTTATCTGGCACAACACAGACTGGTGTGTTCTGAGAAGAAAGGAAGGGGAAAGAGGACCACCAGCAGAGCACTCTGTGAGGAGATGCTGCACTTCCCCACAGTACCTGCTTCCTTGTCTTTTTATATCATGTTAGGGTACTGATTTTGCAAGAATATCTCTGGGAATGAGGGAGTTTCTTTGTGGCCATTTTTTGAGGGATTGCTGACTCATGCTCTCTTCCTGGAAACAAAAGGAAACTTTTGTTCTATTAAGTTGAGTTGCTAAATATACTGACTTCACATCATAGAAAGGAGATATTGATGACATCAGGAGATAAGTGATTCAGGATTCCTTTGGTTCCTGTTCACTCTGTAAAGAAGGTGGTATTTGGCCTAGGATCCTCTTCAAATGTTTTTTCTCCTTCCCTGTTTATATCAAACATCAGGTGCTTTCAGTGACCTCCACAAAGCAGATTGAGCAGAAGAAAACTGGCTCTGCTGCAGCCACTCTGTGGAAAATCAATCATTCTCCTTGGCAGTGCAGCAAAAAAACAAAAACCAAAAAACCCCAGACAAACAAACACAACCCAAACACCACCCTATGCCATACATCAAGTTTCACAGACTTTGCCCAGCTGGGCAACCCTGTGGCAGAAATTTAAGTACCAGTTTTGGGAAAGGCCCAGGCAGTGGGACTGCTACTAAAAGAAAAGCTTCCTCATTCTTGGCATCCTCCACCTCTGTGTATTCAGGACAGCAGCATTAAAGATCAGAATTAATATGGACATAATTTTCTTCCTTGCTATATATATCTTACACATTTCAAAAATATCAGTTTCAAAAGAAGGATCCAATGTGCCTAACTATTCAGGATGCAATTATTATTAAACCTATTTAGGCCAGACCTTTATTTAAAAATGCAATTGAAATTCCTCAATTCTACTGGTTAACAAGACCAATTTCTTGAACTACAGAACTTGCAATGTTTAGTTCTTAGCTAAACCATTTTTTACTTTATAGAGATTCAGAATTATAACCTCTCCTCTCCTCTCCTCTCCTCTCCTCTCCCTCTCTCAACAAACCTGATGCAGAAGTACGTGTAAAGTCTGGGAACAAAGGTCTTGGGTGTGGAATGAACTTTGTGAGGACATTAGGTGAATTGAAACTGACCTTCTTTAAGAAAGTTTTTAAAACCTCTGTGTCTGATAAAGTCCTCGCATCAAAACGGCAATGTCACTTGCAACACCAAGCACTCACTCATCTTTTTTTAATAGTTACAATTCTCTAAAATATCACTAAGAACAGAGTATTTTTACAGCCCAAACTGACAGAAGGGCCAGAAATTCCACATGCTTTACTAGAGATTTCATTAGCACTAATAATTTTTATGTAGAAACATCCACATTTTCCAAAGCTGGTGACAGTAGAAACACTCAGATAAGAGGAAGAAGGGTTTTAATACAGTAAGAAAGTTTATTTTTTTCATTGTCTTGCCTTTCAGTGTAATTTCTGTAGGCTTTCACAAGTACTGATCACTTACAACATAAGGGACGTGGAAGCCTTGTGCTGGATGAAATAATTTTGAAATGTCTGACTGTGATATATATAAAAGACAAGAATGTGGTGACATTTTTATAGAATTATTTTAATTAAAATTACGTTTTCTTAAGTATTTTATACCAGGAAAGTTAAACTGAATATGAAAAAACATTTTCTTTAGAGGCACGTCCTTTTTCCAGGGTCATGGCTTTATAGCTAAACTTAATGTACAATTATTTCATGGATTCTGGTAAAAAAAAAATCATTCCATTAACTGAAGAGCAGCAAAATTATTCTTTACTTGTTACTTCGCCCTTTTGCTGTAGCTCTGCAGAGGTAACCTGCATTGGACCTGCTTTTAGCTCTTGTTATCCTCTCCTCCCCATCCCACCCCAGCACAAGATTTGATGCAAAGAAAGTTCAAAGCAGGATAATGAGGCAATTTTGGAGATGCTTACTGCCCACTGCTCCAAGCATGGGCAGTAGCATGGAAAAATGTACAGGTTTTATTTGATAAAAAATGAAGAGGGTAGGATAGGCTGATCTACTGGATCAAGTCTGGTTGTCCTCTCAGCTATGGACAGAAGAAATTTTTAAGT